GACGAAAGCTTTCGGCATGGTGAATCACGATCGACTGTAAAAAATCATGCAGAAATTTGGACGTTCTGAACGATTCGCGCACATGGTGCGTCAGCTTCACAAGGGGATGATGGTGCGCGTCAAGGATGGTGGGGTTTAATGTTTACAGAACACGGAGTTGTCCTCTCAGGCAACAGTGGCCACTGGCGAAGCCAGGGCTGATGTTGAATGCGTCCAGTCAGGCCTGTGAGTCCTTGAGATAGTGGTGGCAGCCACTTTTGTAGGCTCGTGGCCAAGCTCAGGTGGTGGCCAGTCAGCGTGGGTTGCATTTGCCGAGGGGTGATGTCCTAGTGACTTAGGTTGTGGTTGCAGGGGGCGGTGCCTTCAAGTGGCCTCATGGGCAGCTGCGACTGCGCGGACGCAGGTGTGCCCGAGCTGTCGGTCGTGTGACTTCAGGTCAGCGCGTCTGGAACAGCTCACTGCAAAAGGGTGAATGACCTTGAGGTAGCGAGGTCCTAAACAATGACGCAGACCGGCCATGATGGCTGTCCGTCACAGGATAGACCCGGAAAAACTCACAGTGACCAATAGAATAAAGCTCCGACCCGCTTCTGTCTTATGTTGATGGACGCCTACTTTGGTGAACGTCTTGGGATCAACATTTTCTACGGACCGTTGGTCAGCTTCCAAATATCCGGCGCATGGACACCCCAACGCGTCTCTGCGCGGCTAGTGTCCACAAATTACTCTTCACGGATGACTGTGCGTTCAGCAACGCGACGAAACCGGGTATGCAACGGAGCACGAATCCCTTTGTCGCCGGATCTGTGCTCTTCGGATTGACTATTGACACGATCAAAACGGTGTCCATACGCCAGTCATCGCCCAAAACTCAATGCAACGACTCCCGCATCACTGTCAACGGCTTCTAACTCGAAACAGTGGAAAAGTTCGTCCATTTGGGCAGTACACTACCACCGAGCACCAAAATCGATGGCGAAGTTGCGCAATGGATCTCAGGAGTCATCCTGGCCTTCGGTCGGCTGTAGGTGTCCCTTCGGAATCGTCATGATCCCCATCTCAAAATCAAGGTCAATATGTGCAAAGCTTTCATTTTGACAACGTTGCCGTATGGAGCGGAGTCCTAGAAGAAATTCAATCACTTCCACCTCACTTATCTTCGGAGAATATTGAAGCTGAGGCGGAAAGACAAAAAATCCGAAACAAAAGTCCCGGAGACCTCAGCATCCACGTTATTCTGAGGCAACTGCAATTGTGCTGGAAATGGCACTTCGCGAGGATGGATGACGGGTGTATACCAAAGCGGAGTTTCTGCGGCGGTTTCACTACGGATGCTCCCCAACAAGGTCGACAAAAAGGACAGGATGTGGACACTCCGAAAATCTCCCTTAAATACCGAAGACCTGCAGTGACATCGCTTACTACCGGTCGACCTGGGGGAGAGCAGTGAAGGCTGGAGCAGGAATCTTTGTAACTAATCAGACAGCCGTTGCTGGTGCCAAAAGATCGGTCTTCAAGTCTCAGCCGACTCCAATCCACAATGCTAACATCCAACGCCTTCCGACATATCCGCGTTCTCAGCTAACGTTCAGCGCGCGGTTCGACCGCGTCGGACATCACGGGACCCTGGGCAGCAACAATCCGACAACTCCATCTGGTGTTTGCGCAGACCCCCCGCCATCGTCACCTCTGCACTAAGCCCCACCACCACCACCACAACCACCACCGGTGATCACGCACCTGATGCCCTGTCGCCCTCGCCCACCACCACCTCCATCATCCTTGCCTCAATCTCCGCGACGATAGCAACCACTACCACCTCTCCATCACCGCTGATATTGCTCCGACGCCCCGCCAACCACCATGCCCCCCATTAGCACCCCCGTTACAAGCGATACAGACTCGATCCCAACCTGTTCTCATTGCGATAGCACCTCCACATCACGCATCGATCTGATCGGTCGCTCGTGAATCCATCGTACAGAGACTGGTGAACCAGGGTCGGGGCCCTGTTACACAAGCATCTCCATTGTCCGCAGTGCCCACGCACACTCAGTCACCACATGGGCCTATCCGGTCACGACAGCGGAGTCCACCGAAATGTCGGCACGCCAAGTCCACCTTGCACCCACCTCCAGCACTACCAACTATCCCTGCATCAGCGTCGCCATAACTAATAGCGTTAACTCTGCAACCAAACCAGCAGCTCCCAAACTTCCCTGTCCACACTGTCACCGCGCATTCTTATCAGGCATCGGCCTGGTCGATCACCTGCGGATCCATAACGCTGAGGATGCCGAATCAGCGTCAGGAACACCAACCAACAGACCTATCACTCACACTTCAAATCGCCAAACTGGCCACGAAAATTCGGCCACCACATGGGCCTACTCGACCACATGCGCCTTCATGCAACTTTGCGGTAGATCATTGCAGAGCAAACCCCATCGCCAAACATTACCCCATCGGTCCATACTCCGCAAGCGAACCCCATCTCGGTCTCTGTGGTGCTCTATGGCATGTGACCTCCGAGCAGCCCACTTCTTTGTGTGAAAAACTGCCTGGTGCGGTACGTATAGACGAGCCGTTTTAGTCCTGCTAGCCACTCGCCAGTTGATTGATCGACATCTATTCCGAATAGTTGTAATTCGTGGGATGGAAGGTTGTCAGCTAACAGTACATCTCAGAACCCGCAGTCTGCGCTGAGCGTGTGTATGTGTGTGTGTGTGTGTTCCACCACACCCCCTGGTCCACACACAAATGACCAGGATTTTGACCACAAAACAATGCGGTGGCGGCAGTGGTCCAGTTGAGCGACGAATGCCGACAACAGGGCCCGCCAGCGCACCCCGCAAATGTTGGCATTCGTTATTGCGCACAGATAACGCCTGCCAGAGTCCGATGTGGCCCCCGTGTTTGTCCAGCGCATCTAACACGTGGCCCGTGTGTGTGTGTGTGGTCAAAAGGTTCAAAAACGTCTGCTGTGTCAAGATCAGTTTGAGTACAGCCAACGCTTTGGCCAACTGAGTTACAAGGCCTCTCACTGGGAGCCGTGTGCTTAATCACCTTTGAGTCGAGTTGCCCTTGAGGTCAAAAGGTCTGAAAGCGTGTGCTTTGTCAGTATCAACAAATCATGACCATCGCAGCTTGATATGCGCTGGCAGTTCCCTGCCGGTAGATGCGTTTACACTCTCACTAGGTATAGAGGTAGTGCGCATGGCTGCCCAGTAATCATCCACATCCCTCTGACCTCCTGTTAGGATGTTGTTATTGTTGTTGGTGAAAAATACTGGTCAAGTGTATGTTGTGCACCAGGGGGTGTGGTGGCACGCCTAGGTGCGGGTCCGGCCGTGTCAGCCATCTGCGCCCTCCCCCTCCTCCGGTCTCCTTGACTCTGTCTTGACACCGAGTCGAGGTGGGGAGTGGGGAAGAGAGAGAGAGAGTGCGGTAGATGTTGCGCAAGTCTACTGTCACTGTAAACTAATTCACGCGCAATTCACCGTGTCGGCTGCACTTTACTCTGTAGCACACAGTGGACATCGTCGGACACGACTGTCGAACGGTCGTGTGTGTGTGAGAGAGAGAGAGAGAGAGAAGGAGAAAGAGAGAAAAAAAGACAAAGGGAAACTGACCCCGCCCAAATTCAGCTCGTAGTTTCCTCGCTGTGAAAAGCTGTGGCCCTGAAGTCTACAGACCGACTGGACAATTTAGTTCTTCGAAAGGAAACAGTCCTATCGGATTTTTCTCCCTACGACGGCCTTCTTCGATGAGATATCCAATATTGTCTTTTGGTAGGTGGGACCGACACCCATGTGGCATGCATAAGCGAGGACTCAGTTCTGTTAAGTTCGTAACTTACGCATATGTGCACTCAAATAGGCGTTATGGAGCCGTCACGCACGAATATGCTGGAGAAGATGTTCCAAGCCAGTCGACAATGCAGCCTCAACTCCGTTTAAAAGTATAGAGAGAAATTCATTTGACTCGATTTTGAAAAAATCTGCGGCTTCGATGCGATCCAAATCCAAGACAGTAAGACAAGGCTTAAGTACAGCCAAAGCCCTAACTATCTGAAATTGAGATCGTGAGTTAAACCAAAACTGGGTCAACTAAATTATTCACATTCACCAAAACATCTATTATATCGCAGAATGTCGGTTGGTACATCCTACATGTCAATCGTCCGTTTCGATGATTTCTGTCGTGTACTCCACAGCAGGCCGGAGGCAGAGACGATGACATGCGCCTGAACTAGTAGACTTGTGCTGCATTTACCGCACTCTCTCCTCCCCCCAGCTCGCTAGGATCCGGTGTCAAGACAGAGTCAAGAAGACCGAAGGCGGGAGGAGGCACAAGTGGCTGGCACGGCCGAAGCCCTACCACCACCCCCCTCAAGTCAACAAAATGCGCTGATTAGGATTTTATGCAAGCAGAAGAATAGGGAGGCGGCATGGATCCAAATGGGCGCGGCGTGAGTCTGTGCCTGGGCGTGTCACCACACGCCCGATGTTGGCATTTGTTATAGTTGCTCGTTCCCACTTAGCCCCCGTCGTGCACTGATCTCATTCCCGTGTTGGGTCCAACACATCTACCGCGCGACCCGTTTCAGGAGCACGGAATAGCTCTTCCCATCTTCCTTCTGTACAAATCGGCGTCCATTTTGCTTCTTCCGTTGGGTCACAGTGTTACCTCAGACCATTCCCTGGATCCACGTTTTGTTTACTGATGGCCGTTCGGGTATGAAGTTCACCTCCAAGCCTCTGGTTCCCGAAGCAGATTCCCCTTTACTCTCACGCCTCCATTGACCTGCGAATTCAGCACTAGCTTAGCTATCGGCATTACGTCCAATAACTGGCGGTAGTTCACGTGATCAGGCCTGCCTGCCTGCATTCCTGTCCCCCACATCCAGCGCTTTGTGCATCCGGTGGCTAAGCGACGTCCGACACCACCCACCATCGACCCAACGCGCATCGCAAAGTTGCAGAGTGGGTGGGATGCCAAAGAACACACCGGTTAGAACTAGTCAGGCCTTTATTTTTGGCCACAAAGTGCCGGTAGGAGGAGTTTCGCACGGACAGGACGTATAGGCAGCAGATATCAAAACCTATTTGATGTCCTCCCGCCAGTTCAACCACAACTGGGTCCAATGAATTATTCATATCTTCCAAAAACTACTGATATCGAAAAATGTCCGTAAAGGTTTAATAGGTCCAGATACACAATAGTTCGACCGTCGTTGTCGACGATGTCCACCGTGTACTCCACAGCAAGGTGAGAGCACGCAAAGGGGCTTGTGCGTGAATTAATTTATTATGATAGTAGACTTGCACAGGATCTATCGCACTCCGTCTTTCTCCCCAACCGGGACCCGATGTCAAGACAGAGTCACGAAGACCGAAGGCGGGAGAGGGCTCAGGTGGCTGGCGTGGCCTGACCCCCATATAGGTATACCATCACACTCCCTGGTCCACAACAAACACCCGACCAGGATTTTGACCAACAACAAAGATGGGTCAGAGGAAGGATGACGCAAGTCACTGGGCAACCTGTATAAGCAGCAGGGGTGCAGGTGCATCCACCACCAGGTGTCAGAGAAATGCCAGCGCACACCAGGCTGCGAAGGTCATGGTTTGCCAAATCGTGACATAGCAGACGCACACAGAAGTCTGAGACGCAGCCCTACATCTTTCCTCGACCAACACCCTTGCCCATACCTACATCCAGAAACACAGTGTTCCCTCAGACTGTCCCATAGAACAACGTTTTGTTCACTGATGACCCTTCGGGTATGAAATTCATCTTCAAGCCTCCGACCCTGAAAGCGAATTCCCCTGCACTATCCCGCCTCCAGACATTTCATTGGCCTGCGAAGTCAACATTAGCGTGGCTCTCGGCAATAGTTCAGGGTAGTTCACGTGATCATGCCTGCTTGCATTCCTGCCCTCCCCCCCCTCACCGACACCGCCTTGTGAATCTGATGGCTAAGCGACGTCTGACACGGTATGCCACCCACCATCGACCCAACCGGCATCGCTAAGTTGCAGAGTGGGTGAGATGCCAAAGAACGCACCGGTTAGAACTAGTCAAGCCTTTATTTTTGGCCACACGGTGCTGGTAGGGGGGGTCTTGGAGAGACAGGACGTATAGGCGGCAGATATCAAAACCTATTTGATGTCCTCACGTCAGGGGCGAACGACGTCTGGGCAAGCCGGTGGAATGACGGACTGGGGATCGACCGACTTAACCGCCAAGGTGTGTGTGGTCAGAAAAGCCAGTGTGGTCTTACAGTGACGGCTTGCCTGAGTAGGGCGGCTCATAATTTCACCGGAACATGCTACTGAAAGCTGCCATTTATCTGACTGCGCGCCTCACTGCCATAATGGCAGTTGAAGTCCAAGTACGGTGTGTACTAAAGATTCCTGACTCACTAACTGAGTCACACGCCAAACGCCCATGTGCGCACATGGGCTCACGCTGCGTCTTACTTCCATCTGTAAATGCCTCCCATTAGGCCGGAATGCAAATTCAGCTCAAATGGACAGTTCACTGCCTCAACGTTTGCCGACTAGCAGCAGCAGCAGCAGCAGCAGCAGCAGCAGCAGCAGCAGCAGCAGCAGCAGCAGCAGCAGCAGCAGCAGCAGCAGCAGCAGCAGCAGCAGCAGCAGCAGCAGCAGCAGCAGCAGCAGCAGCAGCAGCAGCAGTAGCAGCAGCAGCAGCAGCAGTAGCAGCAGCAGCAGTAGCAGCAGCAGCATCACCAGCAGTCGTCTAGCGCGAAGGAATGGGAACTGGCAACTACAAACACGCGATAATGCAGAGGTGCAGCGAAACGGAGAACGGACTGGTGGATCGGTCTGACATTTCTTAGCAGGGCATATCTGGGAGTACATAAACTCCCAAAAACAAGAGTCAGCCAATCACTGGAGGCTACGTGCGTTTTCCGTTTATTGGCTGCCCCCCCCCCGAGCTTGATCAATCCATGTATTCGAATCATCGATCAGCTTGTCTAGAATTTTCTTTCCGAAGTTCACTGGACCAAATGCAGAATGTTATAAATACACGTTACTTTCTAGTTAGACTTGACTTGCGGTTTCCTAATACACTTTTTCGTGACCGGTCCTGTTCTCCGTCTCTGCAGCTTTCGTACTGGAGACAATGGTTGAGTGCGCATAAGCTCCACGAGATTTCAAGTACCAGGTCTGGCCATAGCAGACGTGTGGCCGGAAATCTAAAAAGGCCGCACGACAGTTGGACTGTAAGTCAGTCAGTTCGGAGCACGTTTGAAAGGGGTCATCCCGCGTGATTTGCGGAGGAGTAACAGATAATGCCCGTCGGTACTGAGTACATGAGTGCTTTTGATCTTGAATAAGGGTGACTACAGAACGGCAGCTTACCAAGAAGTGCAAAACCTCCTAGGCTGTTGTCCACAGCACTGCAGAATGCCAGACAAGGATCGGTTTTGGCTGTACTGCGCTGTCCGACTGCATGAGTTTCGGTCCAGTGAATCGCATCGACTAGAAAAATTCAGATCGTGATCTTTTTCCGGGGGTGAACATTCAGGGGATCCTCTTCATTGATGCGGTCGCACTGTGTCCAGGCCGAATTTCCACGAAGCCTTATTTTTGGAATTCCGATAATCTCATCGAGGTCTTCGACGACAAACTGACTCGTCGAGGACGACCCCTGCAGTGGCCCTCATGATTAGCTAATCTAAATCCGTCAGATTTCTTGCTTTTTGACTGCCGAAAAGCCAGATCTAAAACTGTGAGGCAAGTAAAGGCACATTGCCAATAGAAGCGAAGAGACGAGTCCCAGGAAGCAGTCTTGAAAGGCACACTGTCGTCCGAGGACGTATTCTACTTGCCGACGACACTTGACACCGCCTACCCCACTCCAGTCTGAGGTGAATCTTTTCTTGCCAACCAAATCATTGACAGCCCCTTGAACATCTACGGAACCCAATTCTCCATCGTAATTGCATGGTTTTAATGTCATATTTCATGATTTTGAGAGACGGATGATGATATAAGTACAAAAAAGGCGTAATGATTTGCCGGTTACAGTCACTAGGATTGGTCTGATGCGTGCTCAAGTTAGCAGTGGGCTCAATTGCGCTCACAGTGGAGGCCATCAGTTCCGCATCGAAGGTCGAACATCACACCACCGCATGTGAGACCTGACGCGTTACCCACCCACCTTACGCTGATTCCGCTGCTCCTTGTTTTTTTACGCTTTTTCCGGCAAAGTTAAGACGGTCGACAAGTGAACCTTTGGCTTAGACGCAGGTAACTGCCTTGTTATGGGCTGTTCAACTGTGTTTTACTCATCTTCGCTTCCTAGTTACCTTTTCAGGAAAATAGGCGTAGCATGGACTTGATGTTTAGATCTGTCTCAATTGCAATCCATGTCGAAAAGATATCGTAGCTGATGTGGCCTTGTTGAAGGCCTGGTTAATGGACAGACGTTTGCCAAGAACGCTTGAGGGCGTTTGTACATTCAGCTAATTGGCCTGATAAGAAGGGTTCATTCTGCAGGCCGGGAAGTGGGCAGGATGTTGCAGTTAAGGGACAAATAAGCGATTCAGAACGGGCGCGCTGTGCATTGGTCAATAAAAATAAAGGTCTTTGCAACCGGATTGGTGGATAGACGTTTTCCGAGAGCATTGAAACGCCTGTTGTGAGATTTCGCAGGAGTTGCCCGCGTTCTATGACTTGACTTTTCTGCAGCTCTTAAGTTCCCATCAGAGCGAGTTTTTTCCAATGCATAACGAAGCTAGAGAAGGCACAGGCAAAGAGTATTTTGTGGGGGAATTTTGCTGTCGTCCCACTTCCGCCGGTGTTCTGGCACACAGGAACCTCCATCGAACATTCGGTATTCGGTCCATCGTTTAAAAGGCATGCATGTATGATGCATGTATGCTGCATCGAAGGTCAAACATCACACCACCGCATGTGAGACCTGACGCGTTATCCACCCACTTTGCGTCTCACGACCTGATGTCATTTATCATCTTGAAAAAATTAGTCGAAGGCTGAATCCACCGTTCCTTGTTTTTTTACACTTTTTGACAAAGTTCAGACGGTCGACGAGTGAGCCTTCCACTTAATCGCAAGTAACCGTTTTGTCGCTCGTGGCATGGCCTTAATGTTTCGATCTGTCTTTATGGCGATCCATGCCATGAGGAGGTGGTAGCTGATGTGGCCGGTGTTGGCACCCTGGTTAGTGGACAGAGAGGTCTGCCGAGAGCGCTTAAGAGCACGCATTAACAGGCGTGAGCGCGCGTACCTTCAGTTGAATGGCCAGACAATTACGGGCCATTCTGCAGACGAAAAGTGGACACGACGTTGCTGTCTTGGGACAAATAAGCGATTCAGAATGGGCGATCTGAGCATTGGTCAGTAAAAATTAAAGGTCCAAACGTGCTTCCGATGGAAAGTACGTGTCGGAGGCCACAGTTACGTTTAGGATAGCTTACGTGACCGGTGTTTGCAACCGGATTAGCGGATAGACGTTTTCAGAGAACATTGGAACGCCCTCATACACATCTGTTGTAAGATTTCGCAGGAGTTGCCCGCGTTCTATAACATGACTTTTCTGCAGCTCTTAGGTTCCTATCAGAGCGAGTCTTTTCTGATGGATAACGAAGCTAGAGAAGGCACAGGCAAAAAGTTTTTGTGTGCGAATTTTACTGCCGTCTCACTTCGTCCGGTGTTCTTGCCCGCAAGAACCTCCATCGAACATTCAGTATTCGGTCCATCGTTTAAAAGGGATGCATGTATGTGCCCTTGCTATTGGCCTAGGTCATGCACTCACTTCTCAAAGTAGTTTCAACCAATTTCTCGTGTGTTTCGCTATTCATAGTATCGGCAGTAGGCCGGAAAATCCAAGAAAACAGATATTGTTTATTTGGTCATTTTTCGGCTGCCTACCGCCTAAAGTCAGAACTACCCGCTCTGAGACGGCCAGATGATCAGTGTGCCTTCATTCTTGTGTGATCAAACATCTCACCCACTCGTTCAGCTTCATCACACATGTGCGAATGAGCATCGGTTGATTGCGGGTGTTTTGTTGGTCTACAGATTGCTGGGAAGGGCGCAACTAGGCCTGGAACTGCTTTCATACCAGTCTCCAATTTGCACGACGGGGAGCGCGAACAGTCGATAAACAAGCCCCGGCGACTGCATCCATCCGGTGTGGGGCGCAGACGAGGACTGTTTTTTCCGACACTTGGCCAATCAGCGTACGGCGACGTGACTCCTCATTGGCGGCGGTTGACGCGCGTACTTCCGACAGAAAAAAACCTGCCTGACATTGCAGCAGCAGCAGCAGCAGCAGCAGCAGCAGCAGCAGCAGCAGCAGCAGCAGCAGCAGCAGCAGCAGCAGCAGCAGCAGCAGCAGCAGCAGCAGCAGCAGCAGCAGCAGCAGCAGCAGCAGCAGCAGCAGCAGCAGCAGCAGCAGCAGCAGCAACAGCCGGATGCACGTCGCCATAACTACCATACGGTTATTCTGCTCAGTGAAGAAGTTTGCTGGGTTCTTGCCGAGAAAGACAACAAAGTTAACAGCCTGCGCACAGAAGCGAGCTCTCGTTTGTCTTGCGCCGGTACTGTGACAACTGCTGGTTTCGCGGCACATGGCAGGTGCACGGGAGATTATCCATTAATAAAGGGCACTGTACCCCGACGCGAAATCGGCAAATCGATTGACTGAGTCCTCAATCGAGGCCCAGGCTTCAATCAGTTCTTGACTTGTTTTGTTTACGATGTGGGCGAATATCTTGTTGGTTACGAAGTCAAACTTGTGACCCATTTCGTAGGTGAGGGCGGCCACCTATGATAATGCGTCGGCTCGTCGCATAGCCGGCTTATTTTCGTGTATGCGCGACCCGAGCATGCGTCCAGTCTGGCCTGTGTAGTTACAAGGACAGTTTTGGCGCGAGATGCGATACACTACTCCAGATTGCTCTTCAGGCTTTAACTGGTCCTTAGTTTTCATGACCCTACTGCGACTGGTGGCTTTGGGGCGGTGTGCGTTTCCAACACCTAGCTCCGCAACAATGCGCTCGGTTGCCTCCGAATCGTCCTTAATGTCTGGCAGAGAATGCCATATCGTTGGTGGTGTTGATGTTTGGGCCCTCTGGGGGCGACCACGTAGGCAGCGACCTGTAAATGCCTTCGGATAGCCATTTTGTGCAAACTGGTCGCGGAAATGACGGGCTTCATGTAACCTTTCTTGCGGTTCGCTGCTGGATCCGTTTGAAGAGCGTCTTTAGATATCTTAGTTTTTGAGCCGCCGGGTGATTACTGTAAACATTGAGAAGCTGTGTGGTGTTTGTTGTTTCAAGGTCACCGTTAAGGTTTCGCCTGATGGACACATCTAGGAAGGGCATCTGCTGTTCCTTTTCTTACCTCCTCGTGAATTTTATATCAGGGAAGACTGCGTCGAGAGGGTTGTGAAAATGTTGTTACATGTCCTTCTTTGATGGGTTTTGCCCTGACACACAAGCTTAAACCATCGTTAGCGTAATGATCTTAGTTTGCCCTTCGCGGGACCTTTTGGCGTTTCGGAACTGTTACAGACTGGTTGTCCAGTTGAGTCGACCTGCCTGGTGTTCGACAAAGTGATATTATTTTCTCCTGAGAAGAACTGGTGTTACGCGGTGACGATCAGATTCTAAGTGTGCAAGCTTAAACTGCAAACATCGAAGAAAGGGAATTTCTCACCGGATCGAGGAAATTGTTTGGCTGACGTTTCGAAGAGCTTGGACGGCTCCCCATTATCAAAATGTCTAGTGCGAAAATCGATCAGAATTTTGAATACAAAGGCGAATTAGTTAGCCTTGGGCTGATCATTTTTTCTTCTTTCGTTGCCTTGGACTACTGGTCGTCGTCTTAGCCTTGGTACTCAGATGTCAACTCCATCAACAGGCGTCTATACTTTCCTGCGGCCTATAAGGTCCTACGTCACTGCATACGCCATGACGAGGACAAGACAGTCATACAGAGCTTAAGAATGCCGTGCCGACTCGAACTCGCGAACTGTTAGTTAGAAGTCCGCGCCTCTAACCACTGGGCCACGAGCCCGTTGCCCGGTCGGTTTTCGATCGCGAATACACAATGGTAGGGGGCGCTCACCGATCGTTCATACGGAACTCACTCGTTCCGTTGTGCCTTAAGCGCTCTCTCTCGAGCCCAGCCAGCAGCCGCACAGCGGTGCACGATATAGGCAGAATGGCATAACCGACAAGGGCAAGGGAGACTGGGATGGCCATTTCTGGCTTATTAGACGTCGTCGGCCAGTCATACCCAAAGGTTAGGCTCAAGAAAGAGCCCGTAAGGCACATCGGAACGAGCGAGTTCCGTAATAACATTCGGTGAGCGTCCCCTGCCATCGTATATTCTCGATCGAAAACCGACCGGGCAACGGGCTCGTGGCCCAGTGGTTAGAGGCGTGGACTTCTAACTAACAGGTCGCGAGTTCGAGCTTCGGGCGTTCCACACCTCGGCGTTGGGTATGACTGGCTGACGTCGGCCAATAAGCCAGAAATGGCCATCCCAGCCGACATTAACTCTATATTTCCATGAATTACGTTTCTTTCGAAACAGAAGTTGATGGACATCTCTCATTCCTGGATGTCCTTATACGTCGAAAAACCGATGGATCACTTCATACATCAGTTTATCGCAAAGAGGCGTATTCAGAGGTCATTCTACACTTTGAGAATAACTACCCTGTCTCTCACAAACGGAGTACAGTCTACAAACTCCTGAATCGAGCCAAACTCCACTGCTCTGACGAAATAAGTTATCGAGCTGAAATGAAATACCTCTATAAACTGTTCTCCTAAAATTTGGTACACCATGACTTTATACGTCAATGCATGAGGCACCAGCAATTCAAGGGAAAAGGTATTTCCAATGCTACGGCCGCTCGTGCACCAAAACCAACCACCTGGCGAACTCTACCATACGTGAAAAATGTATCCGAACTAGTCGAAAGACAATTTAAAAAGTACCAGATACACGTAGAACATCAGCCGGCAACTACCTTACGCACAGAGCTTGTCCACCCTAAGGACAGGGTTAACTGCCTCGAAAGAAGAGGTGTTGTCTACAAAATCCCATTTTCTAGTTGTGATGCCGTCTATTGTGGCCAAATTGGGAAACCTGTTTCAACCCGTATAAATGAACATCACTTAGTGGTAAAGAGGCGCGACCATCTATCCCAGGTGGTCATGCACACACGGGACACTGGGCATAAATTCTCATGGGAAAACACTCGCATTGTTGGCGCCTACCCAATAAGGAAAGGCCACGAATTCCTGGAGGCAATGCACTCAGATGAGGCATTCATCAACCGGTAGATCGATCTAGATGCCACATACAAAATCATTAAGGATAGATTCGAACTGACTCAATGAAGCCCGAGAAGATGACTTTAACCAATCATAGAATCTTTTGTCAGACTCGGTCTAGGAGTTAATTGTTTTTGCACACCCGTTGTCTGAAGACGAGCTGGGGAACCAGTCTCGAAAATTTACACAATTAAGTTTACTGTTTCCCAGAAAATTCTATCCCTCTAAATACACACATATATACATATGTGAAAAAGAGAAGACTCTTCTGAAAATCGAGTGAAGCGTTGTTTTTCAGGAAGAAATTTGAACAAGGCAAAGCCTGTGTTATATGCGGATGGACAATCAACAAAGTACTGATGTTCTGTGCCATTTATTAGTTCTCATTATTTTCCACGATGGGGCAACGAGTTTGTGACTCAGCGGTTAGAGGCGTTGGACTTTTAACTGACAGGTCGCGAGTTCGAGTCTCGGGTGATCCGCACCTCGGGGTTGGGTGTGACTGGCTGACGACAGCTAATACGCCAGAAATGGCCATTCCAGTCTCCCTTGTCTTTGTCGGTAATAACATTCTGCTTATATATCATGCGCCGCGGTGCGGCTGCTGGTTGGGCTCTAGAGAGAAATAGTCTGTAAGGCACATCGGAGCGAGTGAGTTTCGTAAGAACGATGGGTGCGCGCCTCTTCACCATTTTCCCCTTCCTTATGCATCCTTACAGTTAGCCAAATTTAAGCGATTTTTGTTATAGCCACTTTCCGAACTTCTAGGTTTTAGTGAAAGATAATTATTTTTACAGTAGTAAATATTAATCCATAAGCCTAACTATGCTTCTTTTTAAGAACGGACGTTTTATCGCTTTTCTAATGACTTTCGCGGACCGCAGTTTGGGCGGATTTTGCGGTATAGGGATTTTCTCGCGGTAACTCGTGGCATTTTATAAGCTGTCACATTTACTCTGTGCCCCCCAAACGGGCCACGTGTTAGATGCGCTGGACCAACACGGAGGCCACATCGGATTCTGGCAGGCCTTATCTTTGCGCAATAACAAATGCCAACATTTGCGCGGTGCGCTGGCACACCCTGTTGTCGGCAGTCGTCGCACAACTGGATCCCTGTCATCACCCCATTGTTTTGTGATCAAAATCCTGGTCGTTTGTTGTGTGGGCCAAGGGGTGCGGAGTGGACCTCCAAGGCGAGTATCCGTCAGAGCCATCCATCTGCAGCCTCCCTCGTCACCGGTCTTCTTGACTCTGTCTTGAGTGTAGGTAGATGCAGCGCAAGTCTACTGGCACTATAAACCCCTGCGCATGTCACCGTCCCTGCTCCCACCATTTGCTGTCGCGTGTGTATATGTCTGTGTGTGTGAGAGAGAGAAAGAGAGACAGCATCTACACCATGCTGAGACAAATGCAGCTGCGCTGGAGCGGCCAGCTGGTGCGCATGGACGACGAGCGACTACCCAAACGACTCTTCTACGGAGACGTCGCGACGGGTTCTCGTCGTCAAGGAGGCCAAATCCGCCGTTACAAGGACATTCTGAAGTCCTCACTGAAGCGCCTGCAAATCAACCCGACCAATTGGGAAGAGCTCGCACACGATCGACAAACCTGGAGGAGGGCAGTGAAGACAGGCGTTGCGATCTACGAAGCCAACAGCATCGCCGCCGCCAAAGCGAAACGCGAAGCCCGCAAATCCCAACTTCGCCCAGTCCGCAACGCCGACGCACAACCGCTACCTACGTGTCCTCGGTGTCAACGGACATTCCGGGCTCCAATTGGGCTTGTCGGACATCTTCGGATCAACTGCGCCTCTCGGACTGCACCAACCATCGTCCCCCGCCCACCTCTTCCTCGTCCTCTCCGCTGCGAACTAACTTTGACAATTCTTCTGAACCACCACTTCCATCCTCCTCCTCCTCCTCCTCCTCCTCCTCCTCCTCCTCCACTGCCCCAACGGCGGCCGCTCAGGCGGCCGTCTCGCACATCACCAACCGCGACACAACAACAGACACCACTTCCACATCTCCCGACTCCAGCAATGAGGATCAGGACTACACATGCCCTCACTGCAACCGCACCTTCACCTCACACATCGGCCTGGTCGGTCACTTGCGAATCCATCGCACAGAGACTGGCGAGCCAGTGCCTGGAGCACCAAACTACACCCACCCGCTCTCTGTTCACGCAGTTCGTCGCGTTGTGTGTGTTGTCTGTGGTGGCGGACTGGTGGGCTGGGCGGCGGGCTGAAGCTGCACCTTCCACGGCCCTCTCACGCAAGTGAGGGACACACCGTTCAACCCCCGTTGTGTGAAATCCTGGTGTTTGTGTGTATGGGGGGCCAGGTCGTGCCGTGGGACGCGCAGTCATGGTCAGTCGACCATGACAGCCACCGCGCCCATTCCCCACTCCAGTCTGCTGACCGGCTCGGACAGCGGCTGGGGTGTGGGAGTGGGAAGGGAGAGTGAGGTCGACGACTCAGCGCATTTTCTCCTCACTATAAACAATCTGACGCGCTTGAAGCTATCACGGTGCGCTAAAAGCCGTGGCTTGGAAGGTTGCCAACTGACGGGGTACCTTGGACCTCCTCCTTCACGGGAGGCGGTCTGAGAGTCAGGCTGCAATGGCTCCTTTTTAATGTGGCCTTTATGGCACTCTCACCACAGTGTGGGATCCGAGTCAGGCGTTGGCGGCGCGCCCAGGTGCGGTTTCGGCCGTGCCAGCCTCCAAATCTATGTTGTGTTGGTTCAAATCCTGGTTATTGTTGTGTGGACCAGGGGGTGTGGTGGAACGCCAAGGTGAGGCTCCGTCCGAGCCATCCACCTGCGGCCTCCCTCGTCTCCGGTCTTCTTGACTCTGTCTTGACACCGGGCCCAGGCGGGGGAGGAGGAGAGAGTGTAGGTAGATGCTACGCAAGTCTACTGGCACTATAAACCCCTGCGTAAGTCACCTTCACTGCTCCCACCGCTGCTGCAGCTGTGGGGCACACGGTGGACATCGTCGAAATCGACGGTCGAACTGTCGTGTGTGAGAGAGAGAGATTGGGGTTTTCATATTTCGTGTGAAATAGGTGCCAGAACGTGTTTGGGACACGAAGGCGGTCTGTTTGACCTTGTCCGCCAGTGCGCCCATGATCCTTTCCAGTCTTGTCTGAACTTTGTCCCGGAAATGGAACCCCGCGGGCGAGTGAGGCAGACGCATCTCTAGTCGGCTCCACCGCCGACAAATGTGTGCGCAGATTCCACATTTGGTCTTCGTGGCCGACTCCCAGATGTCTCTTGCCTTTGCCCTTTGCGAACACGCGGTAAGCGGCATGCGCGTGCTAGCGCGCGACTTGGCGCTCTGGTAGTCGCGGTCACGTGTGCTAGGGATCGGCAGGGCGGTAGCTGTTGCCATCGCGTCCACTCAGCTGTCAACGTCTTACGCAACAGAAAACGTTCACCCAGCGTGCTCAAAAGTAGCCAGTCGTCGGAAACTAGCCCACCGTCTAGCATGGACGGTGGCGAATCGCGCCCAGGTCGCGTTGTGAAAAAAGTCTACGGAACAGCCCGGCAAGCGCCTTCGACAACTCAGTCGGGAATGCACCACCTCCGAGTGTACGGTTCACACATTAGCGAAATACGGAGGAAATTTCCTGCCTTGTGTAATTTCCGAGGAAACCCATTGGTGAACTGAACCCCTCGCAGATGCGTCAGAGAGCAGCACAAGATCAGCGAAATACGCACGTCAGTATGGTAAATAATTGCATACTTGAATAAATATCATTTCCGACCGCACTGTGCTTCTCGGCTGCAGAAAATTCGGCGCAATGGCAAACACCGGCAGGGGGAAATTCTGATCGGGAATGTTAGCTGAAGGGAGCATCCAGGGACCCCTCCTCACAGACGAATCCATGTTCTGTCTGAACCTCACTTGGGGTGGACCTGATATCCAGGGTCTACAAGCCGGAACCCGAAGCCGTGTAACATTCCTCTCGGACCGTCGACCTCAAATGCAGAATATAATATGGCCAGATCGCATTTGGTAGCCAGGACCCGTATTAGAGGTGGCTGGGATGTTTGCTTACGGGGGCTGCATAATCACATCTGTCCCATTTGACTTCCGTTTTACGGTTGAGGTCAGGATTAAGGTATCGGTTAACGGTTTCCGATTTTCAGGTTAGGGTTATGCCTTTAGGCTTAGGTTTTCGGGCTACGGCTAGGGTTTGAGTGTACGAATAGGTTTCAGTATTACTGCTAGGCTTCTCAGTTACGGCTATGTCTAAGGGCTACGGTTACGTTTACGATTTCGGTTAGGGTTAGGGATGCATTAGGGTTAACAGTAAACGTTTAAGGCTGAGGTTAGGGTTAGGGTTAAGGTTAGGATTAGGGTTAAGTTCGCCGTCCGCTTCCCATTCCTGGCTACCAACTGCGATCTAGACTCTAACATATATATGTTATATATATTATAATATTGAAAATAAGTAAGATTCTTTGGGAAGGTGAATAAACTTTAATGAGTAAATTTTCGGGTCTGGTTCCCCAGCTTGTCGTCAGACTTTTGGGCTATGTACAAAAACAGTTAACTATTTAACCGTGTCGAACATGTGATTCTATGGTTGGCCGAAGCCTGCGCCAATGCGTGTCAACGATTTTCGTCATCCCCTCGGCATTGTCTGCGCTCGCTTCCATTTGTCCTTGAGAAATTTGTATGTGGCATCTAAATCGATATGCCGATTGATGCATGCCTCATCTGAGTGCATTGCTTCCAGGAATTCGCGGCCTTTCCTTATTGGGCAGGCGCCAACAATGCGGGTGTTCTCTAACGCAAATTTGTGTCCAGCGTCCAGTGTGTGCATATGTTCTGTCAGAACCTCACTTGGGGTGACCTGATCTCCATGGTCTACAAGCCGGAACCCGAAACCGTATAACATTCCTCGCGGAAAATCGACCTAAAATGCAGAATATAATTACTGCGGTCAGCTTGCATCACGGGCCTGATGTGAATGTTCAACCGTTGTCCCTGACGATGTCTTCACAGCAAGGTGAAACAGGCGGGCTGACCTGCACGTGATTCAGCTTATAGTGAGGGTAGACTTGCGCTGCACCTACCGCACTCTCTCCTCCACCTCCACCTGGACCCGGTGTCAAGACAGAGTCAAGAAGGCCGAAGGCGTGGGAGGGCGCAGGTGAATGGCACGGCCGAGCCCGCACCTAGGCGTACCACCACCCCCCCCCCCCCAGGTCCGTACAATAAATGACCAAAATTTTAACCAACAGCAATGGCACCACAACGGGTCAGACGTGCGGGGGTGACTGGGCAGCCATTCTTACAACCTGTGCACCCAGCGGGAGCGTAGGCGCATCTACCGGTAGGGAACTAGGTTTCGGAGAACTGCCAGCGCACACCAGGCTGTGAGAGGCCTGGTTTGCTGATCCTGGCGCACAGCAGACGCTCACATCCCTTGAGGTCCAGAAGAGTGATACGCAGCCCTGCATTGGCCTGGCCCATCACCCTTCAAGGCAGGATAGCGGGCAGTCATCATGACCGGTCTGGTGTCATTGTTCAAGACCTCGCTGCCTCAAGGTCATCCACCCCTTGCAGCGAGCCGTCCCATACAAGCTGACCTGAAGCCACTTGACCGACTTCAGCTCGGACACAATTACGTCCACACCGTGTCGCGGCTACCCATGCGCCACTTGAACGCGCCAGTCCCTGCAACCAGCAAAACAAGCCACTGGGACACCACCCCTCGGCAAATGCAACACACACACTGACTGGCCACCACTTGAGTTTGGCCCAGGAGCCTGCGAAAGTGGCCGCCACCACTGTCTCAGGGACTCTCAGGCATGACTGGACGCAGTCAACATCAGCCCTGGCTTCGCCAGTGGCCACTGCAGCCCGAGATGACGACTCCGAGTTCTGTGCACAGTAAACCCCTCATTCTGGTGCCTTCTGTCTCTCTCCGTCACATAGGATTTGTCCTGATTATTGTAGTGCTCAGAATGTACACACTCACACCGCCCGGTCACAACATAACCAAACAGTCGTCGACAGTTCGAACGTCGTGCCGGACGATATCCACCTTGTGCTCCACAGCAAGGTGAAGCAGGCACAGTGACGGCTCCAGCCACATGCTGTGTCTCTTGTGTGTCTCGCCTCTGTTAGACGTGGAGAGGAGAGACGGCTGAAGGTCGCAGGCTGACCTAAACACGGACACCAGCATAGCGCGACTGCGCTCTAGCCCGTTTGGACGCAGGCAGATCGGACTGAAGAGAAGCACGTTGTTGCATGCTCGCCCTTGTTTTTGTTTACCTCATTTCTGCATGCAAATAATGCGCGTGTGTTTGTGCACCTCCGAGGAGGCACGGCATGCGTGCAGCAGATGTGACGACCCCGATTTCGGTCAGGCTGTCATATGATCCCGTTCTCCCCCCCCCCTCCCACCACGCGCTCATTTGCGAGGCGAAGCGACGCATGTCAAGTGTGGAAAAGGGGGGGGGGTCAGGAGAGGGAAACTTCGCTCTCCTCTGTCCTATGGAGCTTCGTAGGTGGGTGAGACCACGAGGTCGTCTGCAGCAGCAGCGCTTGTGTCCAGAATGGGGCAAAATTAAGCGAGCGGGTCGACAGAGAACTAGGCGGCAACTTTTCCGCATGTCTCGTCATCAGGCCCACAGAGGCTAGGAGAGGGTGTTGCCGGGTCAGATAATTATTTTGAGTTTAAAGTCTCGCAGTATGTTATTACCGACAAAGACAAGGGAGACCGCAATGGCCATTTCTGGCTTATTAGCCGTCGTCAGCCAGTCATACCCAACTTCGGAGTGTAGAACACACGAGGCTCGAACTCGCGATCGGTTAGTTAGAAGTCCACGCCTCTAACCACTGGGCCACGAAGCCGCTGCCCTGTCGGCAGGCATTACAAGAGATATGATTTGATGACAGCAGGTTCTTTGGGAAAAGTAAGAACTTCATTTGTAAATTTTCAAAACTGGTTCACCATAACGTCGTCAGTCTTCTGGGTTATGTACAAAAACAGTTAACTGTTTAGACCGTATCGAACAAGTGATTCCGTGGTTGGCCGAGACCTGAGCTAATGCGCGTCAATGATATTTCGTCATCCCCTCGGCATTGGCTGCGCTCGCTTCCATTTGTCCCTGAGAAATGTGTACGTGGCACCTAGATCGATACGCCGATTGATGCTCGCCTCATCTGAGTGCATTTTTTCCAGGAATTCACGGCCTCCCCTTATAGGTCAGGCGACAACAAAGCGA